TGATTTTTCAGCGTGTTCGAGCCATGAATGGGCGCCTCGTCGTGTTGGTTTTACAGACACGAGTGCGAACGCCGCTGAGTTCAGACACTCTTCTCCTTTCCGTCATTGATTTTGCGAACGCTTGGCGCCATCACAGATCCGTAATTGCCGCCGGAAGATAAAAAGGATACAAAGATTCTTGATCGCCACGTGAATACGTTTTGGGAATACGTTACTTCTGCTTGGCCTTCTAAAGTCTGGTTTTTCATTTTTTGGTTAAATTGTGGTCTAAATTTAATTTGATTTTAACCTGATGATGATATAAATATTTTATTTTTCTAGCTATAATTAATCACTAAACTATTTCTTTGTAGTGGTAACCTTAAAAGTTAATCATTACAAAATTAGTTTAGTGATTAAACGTAACTAGAATAGTACAATGTTTACATCATTATCCGTGCCAAAGATTTTTACTTTTACATATTTGTTTTGTTATTTATCGATGATCTATTAAATATTCTATTAAAACAAAACTGCGTTTCATTGCGTTCGGAGAGCGCGCTGTCAGCGTTATTGTGTCATTCTAATCTATCTTTATCTTTCATTAGACAAGGATAGAATAATGCAATAGCGCTTACTCTTTCCGAACGCAATCTATGTACGGATATCATCAGGATGTATTGCAATTTTTGATCTGGTAGATTCATGTCTTGTTCGTCCCGAGAGGATAACTACTAGCTGAAATATTGTCCCACAGATTACATGATTTCATATAATTTCATCTGATTACAAATAATTTTTTTCACTACATACGAAGTAATTTGGTAAAATATACGATTTTATTTAATATTATACAATGATTTCTCGTGGTTGCATATATAATTATCGGATTATACATAGAAATTTCATATGAATTTTATAATAATTTCGAGGACTCTGTCCCACGATTACATTAAGTGGTTACCCCCTCGGTTCGTACTTCGTCCGATATCAAAAACGTTTACTGGAATTTGTAACGCGCATAGCTGATATTTAAATTGGGTTATTCCGAACAATTATACATATTCCAATCGGTTCGTCTAAACGATTTTGTGCCATTCAATCCCAGAGAAACCAATTTCAAACGGTAGCCCATACTGGTCTAAATTGTGGACAGGAGCGATGTTTTCAATCGAAAAATTGATTACATCTGGCGACCGCGACTTGACATATACAGGCAAAGACAGAAGCAGCAAAGACATACATCATTTTTGTGAGTGATCTTTCTAGAGTTGGCAAACACACACTCGGGTTACTTTGAGAGCTCTCAAGTTGATTACGAGCGGCTCTGCAACTCGTCGTGAAACGCTTTTTCGCTTTATTGCGGCAACGTATGTCCATTGAGTTGCCACGATTCGATAAATTTATCCCTCGTTGATTCCGGGACTCTTCGCTTCAGCGAAAACGATTACGAGCGAGAGATAATAATTTCTTTTGCACCGTTACGGCGTTAATTCTCAAATTGAGAGAGAAAGATCAAGAAAAAGAACGGAAGAAAGGCAATCGGCGCGATGGGGCGCAAACCGCACTAATGTCTCGTCATTACGTTACCTCGGGCGAGTTAATAATTCCGCAATCACCAAAGACAGACGCCGGTGGTTATCGCGAGCCGGACAAATTACCTGTGTCAGTTACCCAGGCCCAGAGGTTTCAGACCACGGCGTTCGGTAAGCAGGTCCCCCGCGCGCGGCATATAATTTTCCCTGATCATAATAACTACCCCCTAACGAGAGAGTAATTTCGAAACGGCTCGTCCATCATGTCTCCCTTTCTCTCAGTTACCATAATTTGACGTCTCGCGCGCATTGTTTTCCTCGCTCACGGAACGAATAAATAAATATTTACCGACGATCAGACTCATTAGGAGACGCTATCGATGACGGAGATCTACATTGAAAAGGACGTCCCATGCATCCCGGTTGCAAATTTTTAATGCAGCGCCAACTTTTCGACGTTACTTCGAGTCCGAGACCGTTTCTTTTCATTGTCTTTCAAAGCTTACGGACGTTTTTGTATTTTGTTGCCTCGTCCATGAAATCTATCTTCTTTTATTTCACCGCTCATCGTTTGTGAAATTCGTCTTTGTGCCTGGCTACGTCAGAAGATCTCTGACTCCAACGAAACACTGTTAACGAAGTATCTCGATGAAAAGGTTTTTTCCGTCGAATGTACGGGGAAGCCGAAGGAGAACGCATCCATCACTCCGACTTGTCGCATCTCTGGTCGCACGGTTGACAAATGATTTGACATAAGTACAATAGCGCGTAAATGGCGCTTGAGATGTTTCAGACGAAGACCATGAATTTTTAGCTGCATGATTTAAAGTTGAAGTACATTTGATCTCTGACTACGTAGACACGAGGAGAAACTTTTTTTTGCGCCAATCATTGCCATTGTCGTAAATAAATGTATTCATTCCCACGGATCTTTGCATAAAAATCTGAGAACTCATCGACGATAATAATACTGATTTCTTTATGCGCTTAGCAGTAGTTTCGAATTGTCGGAATTGCCTCGAGGACAGACTTCGCGAGCATCGGCGCTGCAGCTTCGCGGAATCAGCATTTCTCGCATGGTACAGCACGTCAAAAGCAGCGCTAAAAGTTATGTCGATTGGCCGTACGCCAGCCGACGGTTTCGCGCTGGTCGATATCCCCCGATAAGATCAGCGAAATTACGCGGCGACGTCGAAACCGGGTACAATATTCATGCTGTATTGTGGGCACTATCGGATGACAATCAATTATGATCCCGAGTAATAGTCATCCCGAGCCACTGTCGCGCAACACACACGAAATATTTATCGACATAATTAAAATCAGCAATGAGCATTTAATAGCCACTAAAGCGTATAAATAAGTCGTAAATTAGCATTTTAGAATTTTATGACACATCCCATCGGTCACTTATATCCGTCGCACTCAGTAGATAAAATTATCTAGATAATTATATAGATGAAGAAATGACTTTTTCTTATCTTTATCTAGATTATTAAGAATATAGATTATCTTTATCTTATCTTAGATAAAATCTTTTTCAAATTAACTAAGATCGTAGAAGAGTATTGTAAAAAAATTTCTATATAACTTTTAGTAGTAGTAATGATGAGAATTTTTTTATGATATAGATAAAACTATTAGTATGACATCAGTCATAATTCAAAGTGACATTAAAGTACTTTCATATTTAGAAGATAAATCTAAGGAATTAGATATTCTTAATTTGTATCCACACGTCAAACACATTTTTTTTAAACATGATACATCATTGCCATTATCAGCGCCAGTAGAGCGCCTTTTTATTTATGGACAACAAATATTTATTAATTATTCCACGTAGAAACCGTTTATTAGACGAAATGTTAAAAAACTTTTATTCGAAAAAAATAAAGATTAATGAAAATATAAATACATTTTTTGTATCCTAATGCCCAATTTCTTCACTTCCAGATAAGTTGCGGATAACCTTATTCAGGAGATATCTCCATTGTATTCTGGAAGATGTCTCTTGGATAAAATTATCTAGAGGTGCAGAAATTGGGCATAAATCGTTTTACTGCCTAATAGTTAAAAACAAAATTATCTTAAAAATTATCTAGATAAAAATTTGAAAACATTTCCGTTGAAATTATTTATTTTTGTCGACACATTCAAGATCAGATAAACAGAATAATGTATATGTTAAAAAAATAATCAACATTTTGAAAAAAATTAATTGTTTAGTATAAATTACTTATTAAAGTGTCTTTGAATTGAACAAAAAAACATTTTTTTTAACATGATTTCAATAAAATCAAGCGAAAGGATTAAAATAGCCCCTTTTAGTTATAAAAATCAATTTTTCGCAAAATAGATCGGTTTAAAATCGTTATTGTCATTTAGAAAGATCGATCTTTTTTGGAGATCGGAACATCCCTACAGTCACCCGGAGGAATTTCGCATCTGCAATTCTTTTTGCGATTCCTTTTGCCTCTTTCGCCGCTTGCAAAATCTAACGCTGCTGCGCGCCGCGTCTGTATTGTACGACTCGTTCCTATTCGTGCTCTTAAAGGGAGTTTATGCCAAGAACGATAAAAAATTTTTCTTAAGATTTCAATTTCAAAATTTTTTGTCGTTCTCGGCATAAATTCCACCTCACAAACACGTATTAATGTGTATACTTTAATCCTGGAAAAGGATTTTTGTGAATCTGTGAAAGAGAAAAAAGTATTTGTTATACAAAAATTATGATTTAATTGGTAATATAGACGGCTTTAGGATCCCCTTAATAGGAGCGCGTCCCGCAAAGGTAAGGCTTCTCCTCGAGAACCCGCCACGGCCAGTTTTCATGCGAGTCGAAGAAACTCGAGAAAGTGGACGCGAGGTTGCATGCGAATCAAGTTTACCCGATTCTGCCGTATTTTGTTTTAGAGATCGCAAATTTCTTATTTGGACTGAACTGGCGGAAGAGTCTTGATAACAAAAAATGGAAAGGATTAGCATCAGATTATGAATATCTTTCTTAAGATGTCTATAAGCATCATTATTAAATCGCTTTAATATTACTATTCTAGTTCTCGATTACATTTCAAGATTAAAAATTAAATTCGACGCGTAGCTTGTAGGATGTGATACATAAATTCGCACTAAATTATTTAAGCTTGACCATTTAAGGTTTCCATTTCTTAATTGGTTGTGTATTCACATTACGATCTTAAAAGATATTTTGTTGTTAGAAAAGCAAAATTTATATCGAGCTTAACATCGTTCCTCTATTTTTTGTTCTGTTTGCAATAAAATCAAAATAATGACTGCGTTCTTGAATATGATTGGTCTATACATTTAGATCCATTGAGAAACTAAGGCCAAGACCAATCATATTAAAGAATTTTACAACAGTTGCAAAGCTGCTTTTTCTGCTGTACGCAGTCATTGATGTCGATAAATTGTATAATTAGTATAAGAAGCAGCATTAGGAACATATTTATGTATTACGAAATTTACCTCTGACGTTAAATAGCCGTTGCCGAGCTTCGAAGTTGGGCTGCACCACAGCGATTAGAATCTGGAGCATGAATAGACACCGCATGATTGGCACTGAATCGAACATGTTTCTTGCTAACGAAATGCGATCTCCTTGATGTCTGCCGATGTTCCCCTTTATTCTGGAACACACACGTCGTGTAACCGCAACATGAGTTTCTCGTTAAATCCTCTCATCACGCAGCAATTGGGTCATTTCCGCGATTTAAGATTACGAATTAAAGCTTTGTGTTGAGCTCGAAGAATTTTCCGCCAACGGCGCAAAGCATAGAAAGATAATTTATGAAAAGTACTTGATTAAGCTCTCTTTGACCGTGACATGGGAGAAAAAATTCTAAAGGTTGAAACGAGAATTCACTCTCTCTCTCTTTCTTTTTCTCTGCGAGAATGAAAAGGGTAAAATATTTTCATCTCCGTCCTTTCCTCTGGATAAAAAGTTCCTTCAATGAGAGAATGGGATAGAAAATCAGTTTCGTCCTATATTTTCTACGTACCAAGCTCATGCTCGGATATAACGTACCTCATACGATTTTCTCGTGCGTGTCGAGCTGTCTCAGGGCCGTTCATGGCGACGCTCCCTAGTTTCGATAATTGGAATTCGTTCAACCATACCGATGATCGAGCTCGACAAGCTACTGGATTCTTCTATCCGAGCTAAAGGTAGAACTCGTCTCGGAATATGACTCTTACGTGTTTCGCTGACAATAGAATCATAGCTCGCAGCATCTCTCGATAAAGCAAGCTGAACTATAATGCTGTCGGTGAGCGCTTTTCAGAAATTTAAAATTACGCTAAATTGTGATCTCGACCACACGAGGATAATGTCATTTACATCGTGCATCGCAGATTTATCTCTGAATGATCTATCAAATGTAACAATTTTGTTCGCTCCTGTTCACTCATCGCTACTATCTATTGTGACGTTTGAAGCGAGAAAACACAAAAATTCTTGCAAATTAAATTTGAATAAAAATATTTTCCATTTGGAACACACAACATTTGCAGTCGATAGAATAGACTTATCGAATGTATCGAAAACTAACTTGTTTCGGAAAGAATTTAAATCATATTTATTTCTTCGTAATATTATAATTATATTTATTTATTTCTTAATTTATATTTATATTATTAATTTGACAATTTATCATAGCTGTGAACATTGTTTATTTCGTTTTTTTTTTTTGTTATTTATTTCCAGCTATACTATTATTTATGAATTAACGAAATAAAAAAAGAATTTTCGATATATTTTACAAGTCAGTTCTATCGATTGTAAGTGTTGTTTTATTAAAACATATTTTCATATTAATATATTTTGCAAAAATTTTTATTATGTATTTTCTCGCTTCTGACGTCATAATCTGAGATAGTAGTGATGAATGAATGGAAGTTTTGACGTCAGCGTATTTTAATTTTTAATCGATATTGTTCGTACGAATAGGTATGACGCGTCGAGGGAGATTTCGCGACAAGAATAGTTTATATATAATAGGTTTTTGATAACTAGATAATTAATATCAACTAGAGGCCTCGTAATATATTCTCAGCAAAGTACACGAATATCGCATAAGCTGCACGTCGGCTTAATCCGCACGAGTAGCTTGTGTTCTTCTCAAGTACTTCCACATAGAAACCAGATCTGATGCTTTATGAAAGCGCAGGAGAGATTCGTAGTTGTGATGATGAGTTGGGTGGGAGAAAGTCAAAACGAGTTCATTAATACGACGCGGAATTGGTAATTAGCTTTGCATGTATCTATCAACCGGAACGCAAATAAGCTTTGCATGTACAAGCGAGGAAATTGACGGGATTGTCGATGAATATTAATTCATATTGAATGGGATGAGAATATCGAAGTATATATTTTAATAATTGAGCCATTGAAAGAACTAGCGATAAAAGTTATATCCATTTTGAGAAACGAGAGAATATTCAATGTGTGCTTAACTTAAATTCCAACTTTTTTATTATAGTATACTCTACGGCGCTATAGAAAGTAAAGAAAAATGTTAAATTTTATATTATTTTAAAATTAATACGCGCGTAACGAAATTGTAACATCGTCGGCTGTAGAAACGCAAGTGCAGCATTATGATAATGAATTGATGGGACGTTTTATAAATAGTATTATAATTTATATTTCGGAATTTCGGACGCATGGCATTTAAAGTGTTATAATTGACGCTGTTTCGATTTCGCCTCTATTTTTGAAATAAGCGCAAACGTTTGCGACGCGCATGTTACAAGCATTCGCGTAGTCGTATACGCGACTCGATTGTATGCCGTGTCAGTAACAGACGTAACCACTTACGGTACAACCGTGGAATATTAATAAGCGGGGCGTAGGTTTTAAAGCGTCTCGCGTCATCTCGATTGAGTTATCGCATCTGTAATACGCATGGGATGAGGACACCGGTGTAGATTAATGGCACGAGTGTCATTAGAGGACGGTGCATGAATCTGTGATGAATAAACACGCAATTCCGTGCGCGGTCCTTACACATGTCTTTAATTGATGTTCAGTCGGAAGTGGGCGGCATCGATGTATCTTGAATAAATATTTATTTCCTCGTAGGAAAGAGGAAAACTCAACTAAGAAAATAGATGAAGTGAGAGGTATCTCGTTTCAGTAGCTGTGTTGAAACACGTATAGGTAATCGCACGTGAAGATACCGAAGCTCGGGAAAAGGCGCGAGAAAGCGAATAAATAAATTCTGAAGTTGCTCGAGTGAGATTAATTCCTACAGGCGTATCGACGTTTACAGCCATCAAAATTTTAAACGTTGACATAATTAATATGGCAACCTACCCAGTGAGCGACTTTGAATTATACGAAGTCGAATGATCTCACGATTATTACATGAGTTCGTGTAAATGCTCTTTTTTTACATGAAACGTTTTCCACCGTGCTGCGAAAAATGCCGCCGACTACGAGATCCATTAATCTTACGCTTTTCAAGTGCTTTACGCTTGTCGGTTCTCGAATTACATGCGTTTGCATTAATCGCGTTCTCATTTATAATAATAAAGAAAGCTTAATTAATATATAGATGAGCTGAAAATTCTGTTAAACAAAATTGTCGCTACACTGAACAATATTGAAATCGTCATGATGCTATCATAATTCATTAACATAATCCGATCATTTAAGAAAAATCATTCCTGTTTTTAGATATACTATCATACTGAATAATTACGCCTATGTATTCCGAGTTATCAAGTTATTAAATCCATAATACATTTTTTGCAAATTTCAAGCGTACAACTCTGATAATAAATTAAGCTGCCACATAATAAATTTCTATCCGTGAGACAGCTATCGCGTACGCTTCGCATTGCGATATTTTACTCATATTTTACAGAATAAGAATGCACGCGGAGATATTTATGTGCGTGTAACACTGCAATCCAGCAGTTTCGCGCGAATGCGCGATTTATGTCATTAAAATTTTCTAACAATATCTATCAACATAAACGGATTGCTGATGAATGTTTCGTCGGCATGTAAAATATTTAAATATGACTTACTCGGCTTGCTCGGATATGAAAATGAAGCTGCACTGGTAAAAGGATACATAGGTATCCTTTTACCAGCGGAATATTCTTTGTTCGTCGAGTAATGGATCGAAAATAGTATAAAAAATATTTCTTTCAAATTAATTACGTACATTCATTTGATTTCACGGGCAATATTACATGAGCTTTCATGACATCATATGTTTCATACAGAAAAAGAAGATTATATCTTGAAAACTGCAAAAATATTAATGAGTTATTGGAGTATTAGAGACGTTTTTTGCGAGATAATAACTATTCATAATATTCTTTACAATAATGGGATAATCTGAGAGCAGAACATTGTATATATTTAATTCTCAAAACACAGCGATTTAAAAAAGAAAAATTTTTATTATGTTAAATAATGAAAATTCATTTTGAAATTTTTTACAAAATGTAATCTCGTATTCTCTACAATATGAAATTATGAAAATATATCCATGTTAGTTTATTTATAAAATAGAATTGTTCTATATAAACTGCAAATATGCTCGAATAATACACGGTATAATTGTTAGCGTGAAAGTGCGCGCGTGACTCTTAATTAAGGGCACGACGATCGAGATAAAAATGTAGGAAAAGTTCATGGTACTGTAACTTCACATTAGCTTATTTAAACGAGATGCTAGAAGTTTTTATATATAGTAATGTCTTTTGCGTAGGTAGAGTAATTAAATAAAATGAAATAATTACTAGATTTATTCGCTGCATTTTTCAACGTTATGAGTTATTCTCTTTATTTATGCAAAGGATGTGTGATTTAACTCTTTTATTCATTACATTTTTATTCATAATTTTATTCATACAACGATAAAAATATTTTCTAAATCTTTATTATCGTTTTGAAACTCACATAGCAAAAGCATATGAAGAGAATTTTTTGTTAAACACATAAAATTAACCAACTATTTTGTATAATATAACTATTTTGTATAATTTCACTAAATATATAACTTTTATATAATATTTATAGAAATTTTTTATTGAGTAGAAAACGCCACGAACAATTACTCATAAATGTAAAAATGTAAATGTAAAAATTATTAAATAAAATCATTAAACAAATTTTTTGAAAAGTCTCTTTATCCTCAAGTATTATAATTTTTAAATAATTTTTCATGGTCGAAAACTATGAACTTTTAACAAAAATTGTGAAACATGCTTGGTGCTAACGATAATTTAAGCATCAACGAGTCGTCCTCGTGCTGATCGTGAGAAGCGATGGTACATGTCCGTGTATAGCCCTTTCCTTAACGATTTAATAATTACGTGGCTCTCTTCGGAGAGTCGAAACAAGTCTTTCATTAACTGCAGCGTAATTTGTTGACTTTCGATTTGATATGCAACTCCTCGAACGCTCTGACGTACCACGCCGCCATTGGGTTATCATTATCATGATACGTGTAACAACATAATGACGTAAGAGTGAGTCCATTTTTCTGCATCCGGCAGTTTGTGAGAAAGGTATACGACGCGCAAATAGCGGGTTTTCATTCGGCAAATATTGTTGACCTATTTTGATTAATTAATACGCGTTCTCTGTACCGGTTGG